TCATCATCGGCAGGAGGAGAAAAAAAAAAAAGGCTTGTTCCTCTCTAAGCTCTGCGAGACAAGGAAGACAGAGTTGCACTGAGAGATGGAAATAGATCATGAAATACAGAAACTGAAATGATTTCCCAGTCACACAGCCACTTACAGCGAGGAGGAACACTCAAATGAAAAAGTCAAACAGACTGAAGTGGAATGGATGGTGAACAGTGATAGCATAATTCACAGTATATAGACATCTAAGGCCAGCGCCGGAGTTGTTCAGATTTAACAAGGAGTGGTGGGGGGTAAAGTGCTGATCTCCTCCATTTCCCCAGAAGATATCTAGTTAACTGGCAAGAAGCTATGCATATTTTTAATGAAGTGGAGATACCACCCACATTCACCCCTCAACAAATCAACCCTTGGGACTACAGTAAGAGTTGTGTTTGCATTTCTGAAGTGCCTTACATTGGCAAAAGTTATGGTAGAAAAGTGATCTCAACTGTTCCATAAGCTGTGCTACTACAGCACCAACCTCTGGTGTATAACGCTGCGTTACGTTACTGCATCGTGTGTGTGCGTGTGCGCGTTTCTGTTGTAGACCCACCCTGCAGGCTGAATGAATGAAACATGCATGTCCAGTCTGCCCCACTTGAAACACATACACACAAACTAAACATGTATAGCAACACCTAGTGGCCTTAATTTGCTGTTACACTGTCAGTATAGACAGAGGAGAACTGCTCTGTAAAATGGTCATGTCACTGTGTGTGTGTGTGTAACCCTTAATGGTGTGTGAGCTACTTGTCGTTGAAGTATTGTTAAGATATTGGTGCTAGGCTGCTGCTTTTTTTTTTTTTTCCTGCAGTGCAATGTAGATAATTAGGACTCTATTTAGAGAGAGGGCCAGCCCAGGAAATACACAGGAGATCCTCACCTCATTAAAAATCAATTATCATAACACACGTGCCAGCGCAATACAGCCCTCATGGCCACAGTCAGCTACACACACATGCACGTGTGGCAACCGTAGTGGAGTGCACACTAGAACAACTATCTTTGCCTTGTTCTTTGTGAAATTTCCTCTCTAGTTAGTTCTGTCTGGGGGTTTTTTTTCACTCTCTCTCTCAAGAGATTGCGCGGGCCTGATCCTCCTCTTAGCTGAGGAATCGCCAGCGTTGCAGTCCCGCTCTTACATAATAACCTCAGGATAACACTCGTGCCGCCGCTGGCCGAGCACACTGTCAGTCACTCGGCTCGGAGTGGGTCAGCTCAGGTTGGAGAGAAGGCCCTCCCACCCCTGTGAAAGACATGTAGCTGAGAGCAAAATAATCTCCGAAAAGTAGAAATGAGTGGCTTTTTTTCCACTAAGGTTTTGTTTGGAAATGGACGCCTGTCAGGAGAGGTTAGGGGGAAGACCTGCATTAGACTCACTTTCTGTAGTTCTACTCTACTCTAGAAATTCACTTTCACTACAGCTTTGAAACTGAAAGTTTGCTTCTATAAAGTAAAACCATGAAATCAAATACCCAAAATGCATTATCATACATCCTAACTTTGAAAACAATAACAACACGAACTCCTCTAAACACCCAACAGATAACACGTCTTAATTCAGCTGTAAGCCGTAAAAAGGCAGCAAGCATGTATTGTTGACTGGATGTGGAAGTGGGAGTCCTTTTGGTAAACAATTCACAAAGCCTGTGCTGCTGAGAGAGGGCGACGGGACGAACAGTGGTGATACACCGAGTTGGCTGCACACACTGATGACGTCACTTCCTTTAAGAGTGCGACAGCTTAGCACATCATCGCTGTGACAGCCAGACGAGTGCAGCGAGTGGGTGGTCACCCTGGCAACAGCAATGCTGTCATGACCATCTCCCTATATCCTACCTGACAGTCCCCGCTGGCAATGAGCACAACACACACTCAACAATGCACACACCCCCACACACACACACACACACATATTCACAAACACTTTGTCAAACACGTAGACATGTACACATACTTTATCTTTCACTGTGTCTTTATAAGTGAAACGCTCACTCAAACCCCCTCTGAAACACACACTAAAACAATGCACATGCCCACACGCCCATGCTCCTTTGGGCATAATTATGTGATACAAAGAGGAGTACAATCTCCCAAGGGGAAAAAAGAAATACAGAGAAGCTACAATGTAATCACTGGAGAGAAACACACTCCTCTAAGGTGGAAAAATGTAAAGAGCTTTTTCTAAAAATCAACAGAAATATTAAGTATGTATATCCACATCACAGAAGCAGCAGGTGTGGGCTGAACATATTCAGCTTGTCTAAACCCATAGATATTCACTGTATTCATGATTAACAATTTAATCACTTAGACTAAAAGTGTGCTATAAACAATAGCAACCGCAAAAGAGAAAGAGCATCGTAAGAAGCAAAGAGTGAAGGTGATAAGAAGCACAGCTGATGCATTGTTGTCCTGTCTCCTGTTTACTGCTCATATGTGGTTTGTTGATAACAGCCATCACGGGCGCAACTGACCTGTTTTACAGACTATAAATAGAGTGTTACAGGCCATGTTCATTGACAGCTCTGTGTATGTGTAGTCTGTGTCGTCCCAGTCCAGCTCTGACCCAGTTTGGAACCAGTTGGGCGGGAATTGGTGGAAATGGGCCAATGGTGTGCTGCACCAAAACTCACAGCAAGAGCTACGCCACCTTAAGCACATAGTCAAACTGCACGTTATAACGTCCATAGGTCATTGATTCACAGACAATCTCCTGTGGAGGGACACAATGATCCATTGTTGGCTTTGAGGTACTAAATGTGAATTATAACCTTACAAGAGAGAAATGAAAGGGCTAAAGGCACATTCACATCCTTAATGACAACTATAAAGATAACTAGAACAACGTACAATGCAATAAGCATGAGGACTATGCACCGTCCGCATAGTCCAGGGTCATGGCAGACCGGAGATCAGTTTATAGTTTGTAGATATTTTAATGCCACTTAATGGCCACTAGGGGGCCGATAGGCAAGTGAATGAATGGATGAGGAAAAACTAATGAATGACTACATGAGCAAGTTATTGAGTGCATCTGGAGGTCTTTTGATGCAAATTGCAGAAGCTGAAGGTAAAATTTGTTACAAAACAGCATCATAATGAAGTACTGTAGTGCTGCAGATATGCCCTGGCCTACAAATCATGTTCTCTACATTAAACACGTTTGTTACATGTACAAACCCCCAAAAATGTCACATCTTCATGATTTTAATAGTATTTTTTTATTGAAAATTATATTTGGGATACAGAAATGATCATTCCCACTAATCGTGAATCATATTGCAATATCTGTCAAAATAATTGCAAAATAAGGTTTTTACAATATTGCGCAGCTCTACTTTGCTTCTGTTCCATCATTATCTCCATATTCCCTTTCTGTCCAACAGTGTCTCTTGCAAAGGGTTTTCAAGTTCATGTAAAGAGAATACAGCATGAAGTAGAGATCATTCACTTTAATCAGATGGCACTGACAGATACAGTATCTGTTTGTATTAAAGCATGAATTTAGTGACGCTTTTGACGTGGCCTATCTCCCTGAGCTACAGGTAAAGTGTATAGACAGCACTGACTGTCTGTTCCTGCTCAGTCGCTTAGACAGACAGAACTGTCTCCATTGATCCTCATATGGGATTATCCAATTACATATACTGCACACTCATTCCTCCACAGACATTTAGTATACACACACACCTATAGTACAACATGTACCTGTACAGTATGCACACATACACACATACAAACAATTTATACTCTAAAATCACAACATATACACTGGCTTCAATGCACAAAATAAAAAGATACAACTCCTACAAATGCACGTCACTGTGCAAACACATGCAGTTCAGACTCAGGCAAGCATAGCAGTGCACACAAACATACGTGTTCTCTGCAAATACACACCAAGCACCAATTCCAGTTACACAGGTTTTATATTGTTCTTAAGGGGAATAAATTAGGCAGAATTCATGCAAACATCATATTATAAAACCGAACAACTTGTATTTCCTGTTCCTCTGTTTTTGAACTTCTAGCATTCCGAAAAACCTGCATAATTTCCTACAGGTGGGAAATATGCAAGGAGATTACATGTGAATGGCTATTTCAGCTGTGGCTAAGCCAGTAAGCAAGCAGAGGAGGGAACCAGCTCGTCGGGAAATAATTTAGGATTAGATAGGCTGTCTAATCTCTTTATAGAGGGTGTGCCATCTCAGCAGACATACCTGCCTACCTCTACATCCATCTCATATCTCTTAACAGGCGCTGCAGCTTTCTCTTTCCATATATTATGGATAATAAGTTCAAAGACACCGGTGACAGGTGCTTCTGTGTGTTGCATTGAAATACTTTCTGTGCCTTTGGTTGTGACTGTACATGGAGCTGCCAATACACAGTGAGTAAAAGCAGTTAAATTAGTACATTAGTACATTAGTGCTGTAGATTGAGTAAAAGCTAAATACTGAAAGCATTAGTAAAAAAGGTTGTAGAACTCGACGTGTGTGTGTGTGTGTG